CACCTGCTTGAGCAAATCAATGTTTAACGGGAAGTCAAGCGATCAAGTGATTATTATTTTTTCTTTTGCTTTTCAGGTTACACCCACTGATGATCAGGGGTTACTCCTGCCTTTGCACTCAGGAATTACTCCTGGCAGTGCTATGGGGACTATAGGCTGGGAATTAAAGCCGGGTCGGCCTTGTGCAAGGCAAACGCCCTACCGGATGTACTAACGCTCCAGCCCCTTAATTCTTATCCAAGATTGCAGTTCATCTTTACTTCCCTGTACAATTTTGATTGACCATGCCTGAGCTGCATACAGTTTCTTAGTAAGTACATGGGCATTCTTATTTTTCTGACACTATCATTTTTGGTTTTTTTTTTTGTTTAAGCCTGCCATCAAAGTATTGATGTAGTTCAAGCATTTTCAAACCTTGATGTGCATCAGAATCATGAGGAGGGCTTGATAAACAGATTGCTGGGATCCACTCTCAGGGTTTCTTAGTAGGTAAGGTAAGACACAAAATGATCTTTACTGTGTTTTCATTTTGGTAGAAATAAAATTTAGATATGAATATTTATGAGTTTACTTTAAAACACAGGATAAAAAGCATAAAATAGGCTAATTTTAAAAATATAAGTGACTTGAGAGAACTACATAAAAATACTATTCTTTATTAACATAACTTGAAAAGCTCTACATCACTAATCCATTTAGAAGATCATGGCGAACATTAGTATGAAAGACTAAATAATTATGTCTGTCTACTCCTCAAATTATATTGAAAATTGTTTCCTAATCTCATTTAAGTACAGCACATTTTAAAGGATAATATACTGCAAACTAGTGTTACTTATGACACACTACAAAATGTTGCTCTATAGTAATATTTCATGTAGTAAAGTTATGGTATCCCTGGCAATCTGCCAGAATTACAGAGGCTTGGTACCTGCTCAACTGCATTCAGATCATAGCTAGAAGTTATTTACTTGTCTAGAATACAGGTATGATTTTCTTTAGTGTGGCTCTGGAACATTGGAATTAATAAAAGAAAAAAAATATTCTCAAATTATAACATACTCAAGAATATGAAGTTCAAAGCCTGAAATTTTATAATAATGTGAACCAGTGATATATCAAAAATATTAATATTCAGGGATAGGGTTATCTGATTTTCAACCATCTCAAGGAAAGAAGCTTTGATTTGAACACTTTGCCATTTTCATTTTAAACCGAGACTATGTTTATTTTTACTATCTGATATTCTGAAATATTGACTAGTCTAAAGTTTCCCAAGAGCAATTAAGCAATCTGAACTTTAAATTCTGTCAGAAGACTGGAATGGAGTTCTACTAGATCAATTAGTAAATAAATAAGTTTCTTTTATATAATTATCTCACTACCTTGGACTTCAGCTCCTCTGACAAATTCCTGTTTATCCTTAACATGTGAACATAACTTGCATAATGAGAAGGCAGAAATAAAAATGAGTTGGTAATTTTGCCTTAATTTCCTGTCTTTTGCAATTGCATCATTATGCTTAAGCACAGGACCAGGACTGGAGATAGATTTGAGCATTATCCTAACAAAATGGTTGAAGTAAAATATTAGTTATACACATAAGACCTCTACTCTGAGGTGACAAAATCTGTTTTGTTCTAAATATAATTATTTACAGCTTTATAGTGAATGATACTCCTGTACATAAAATTTGATAATTGATTTTATCATTTTACTTTAATGGTTTTAGGCAGCTAATATATTCAAAACTAGACCTAAGTAGGGGGCTGGAGCAATAGCATAGCGGGTAGGGCATTTGCTTTGCACGTGGCCAACCCGGGATCGATTCCCAGCATCCCATATGGTCCCCTTGAGCACCGCCAGGAGTGATTCCTGAGTGCAGAGCCAGGAGTAACCCCTGTGCATCACCGGGTGTGACCCAAAAAGGAAAAAAAAAAACTAGTCCTAAGTCTTCCTGAAGACATTTACATTTGCTTTACAAAGTCTACCGTTCCACAAAAATCACATCACACCTTCTGGAATAAAATACATTAAAGTTTTACTTTCAGAATAGAGTATTACAGTTAGCAAGTACTCTCACATTTGTTTCTAATAACGATTTTATGAGGTAGGTAAAATCAGGGCTTTGTCAGAGGACTTTTACAAAAGTTCAGTCATAAAATGAATCACTGTTTTTCTTTTAATTACCAGTTATGCATAAAACAATCATTTATGATCACTCAACCATCCCTTACTCTCACCATTGATATGATAAATTTAAACCTTTTGTTATTTTATTCATGTCTTTGGTTATTTCCTTTTTAAAGAGTCAATTGCTTTTATAATCAGAAACAAAGTCTTTAAAAACTTAGTTTGTAAGGTGATAGCAATTTTAATATAATAGCAATTCCATTATAACAAATGAGATCTTTTCAGTATTAATCACAAAATATCTACATTTCTGAATAATATAATAGTGTTAGAAAATTGTTTAAGGATTTTCTAAACTAATATGGCACTGAAAATAAGCAACATATTCTTACTCTCCCATTCACCATTGTTAGAATGGTAGAAAATGAGTAAGCCACCTGCAAAACAAAATGTGAATATATTGTATTTTAAAGTAAAAAATAGAGAAACTATCATTATATAATCAAATACATTTTATGTATTTATTTATAAAAATAGGTATCAGAATCTTCTGAAAACACTAACTGTAAATTTCAATAACAAAAGGCACAAATAAATTTTAAAAGAAAAACTCAAGCTAGGGAAATGATAAACTTCATAGTGATAAGCTATCAATATTTACATTACAGTGAGATGTTATTTGTATGCCAGTTAGTACCTAGTCTATTATGGTAAATACAAGTGAACTAAATGCTCTCTCTTTCTCTCCCTCATACCTAGGTATGAGAAAAATAAAGAATGATACTCAGGTATTAAATAAAGTTATTAGTTTCACATATTAACTTTTGCCAAATTATATCAAATTTTAGGTGACTGCCTAAAACTTCCAAATATACAAGAAATTTGGAGGGTAGTTATAATCACCACTTTATTGATAAAGGGATTTTTTTATTCTTTACCTCTATCTATTATTTGTTCAGTCACTTCTTGCTTGCAGATATTAACAGCCATATGTGTGTGTGTTTGTGTATGTTTTAAATTTGTATTTAAAAAATGAGTGGTTGAGTGATCACATACAATAATTATACCCTGTTTACAAAGAAATATTATTCAAAATAATAATGCTAATATATTGACAAGTTATTGAGTTGATAGTTGGCAGGTTATATTTTTAAATGAGATTTTTATTGATTCTTAAAGAAAAGCAAGAAAATCCACAAAAATTAGATTTGAAGGCTGGAACGATAGTACAAGTTGTAGGACACTTTATTTGCACACAGCAAGCCTGAATTTGATTCCTGTCCACCCCCCCCCCACCCCAGGTTCCCTCAGTCCTAGCCAAGAATAAATCTTGAGCACAGCCAGGTGTGGCCAAAAACCCAACAATGACATCAAAAAGAACTGCATTTGTAAGCTTTGTACACACAGACATACACATGTAAATGTACAAAAATTATTTGAAAGGCATTTAAGGGTCAAATTTCTGTATACTATATACCTCTTTGTAATTATTTTTTTAACTTAAACTAGCTGCTTAAACTATTTTAAGTTTTTTCTACTCAGGATATTTGTCATATGGCCATATGCAGAACATAACATAAAATTTTATATAAAAGTATAAAACATTAGATAAGTGTTCAGATTCTAAAATAAGTGTTCTCAGTTTTGGAGAGACACTACAAGTGCTCAGGTGGTTTGCCTCTGACCTGAGTTCAAACTCGGCCACCCAATATTGTCCCCCAGGCCCTGCCTTGAGTGATAACTGAGTGGAGAGCAAGGAGTTAGCCCTGATCACCACTGGATGTGCTCCCTCAATTACAAAATTAAAGAAGTTCCCCTATATTTAATTTCACCATTTACTAGTTGTTTGACTTTGGGAAGCATTCCCAACTCTCTATGTTTATGCCTTTAAACTCTCAGAAAATTTTGCCGATGATAGATATTATACATAAAATTCCTCAAACTGGTACTTGGCTTAGAGAGATCAGTAAAACACCTTTTGTTAACTAAACAGAACTTACTAGCCAGCTGGACGACACTCTTCTCTCCAAATTGATGATGATCTAGGTTGTATGGTGCATATACAAACTAGGAAGCCCTTTTTCTGAGGACACTCTTATTCTGAACTTCAGTGGTAGTGAAGTCTCTTGAAAGCCAAAGTCTATAGGTTCTGTGTTTAGAATTTCAAATAATAATAAATAAAAGTGCCAAGCAAATCTCACTGATTCCGATAGGGAAAATCTCAGGACCTTTGCGTAGCACCTTTAACATCTAGATATTAAGACACAATCAAATACAGTTCTGTCCAGGGCACAAATAAAGTCAGGGTAAGTTTCTTTGTGAATACACAAAACAATAATTATGAATCTAAAGCACAAAGTAACATTTGTGGGCTAGTTAGATTTTCCTTCACCAACGCGCCACGTGTAAACTTTAATTTTTCAAACAAATAAACATCAGTGCATGTTAGAAAGTCTTACTAAGCCTCGAGCAAGAAAGACAACTGAGGATCACGTAGCAGTCTCCTGTAACTAAAGTTGTCAGGTAGATTTGGTAAAGGAAGCAAACGTCAGGGAAAATCGTTGTTTCTTTAGGAAAACCATGTTCACGGACGTTTATAATTTTTTCCTAGCAAGTATTAGCGTGGGTATGTCTTTGCCATTTACAGTGAATTTCCAAGCCTGTGGACTTAGAAACTCTGGCTTCTGTCCCAAAATTCAGCATTTCTGCTCTTTTCAGTCTCCCTTACTTTCAAGACAATCCTGTGCCAACCAGGGCCTCTCCTGGCAGATAAACCTGCTTGATTAATCCGCCCCTCAGGGGCGTGTCAGTACCATTTCCTGGAGCAATCTCACAGGGTGGTTCCACTTTGCATTTGTACTCAAATACTTTGCTGCCTCTTTCGCAGCTGCCAGACCTGCTTTTGCTGCTGCTCAGGTAACTTTCATCTAGCCCTGGCACCATTGTAGGACGAAGTGGTTGATAAATGGCTGCTACGTGTGTCTACCTGCCTGTCTTCCTACCCCTTACTTTCATGATCTGTCTCTCTCTCTATTCCTTAGAGAGAACATATTGGAGGTGCTTTTGCTGACAACGGAAAAGATGATGAGCTCAAGACACTGGAGTGAGACAAGCAACAGCAGCTGTGGGACCCAACAACCCTCGGAGTTACTGCAATGTCAGCCGCAGCATTACCATTGCTACCATCAGTCAAACCTAGTCCAGCAACCTCCAGAAAAAAATGTGGTATATGAGCGAGTGAGAACCTACAGTGGGCCCATGAACAAAGTAGTTCAGGCCTTGGAACCGATCAGTTCCCGGGAAGTTCTCTCTCCTCTCAGAACTGCTGGCTCCTATCAAAATTTGGTTTGGAGTGACCATTCCCAGGTACAGTTATGCCAAGCTAATGGAAAAACGAAATCTTGAGCAAAACTCTTTCTTTTTCTATACCTCTGTTCTACTAACTCTTTTTTAAAAAAATTTTATTAGTGAATCACTGTGGGATACAGTTACAGACTTACAAAATATCCTGCTTGTGTTTTATACAGTGGTAGAGTATATATATATATATAATGGCGCGTAGTATAAATTCTGTCTGTTCTCTGTTCTTTCAGCTACTGTCTCTGCTGATTGTTTTCATAATGAAACAGGGGCATGAGACAGTTTGTTTCTTTGTTAGATTTGATTGGAATGTATCATTTTGAGGTATTATTTTGTCCCTATTTGAAGTAAATTGCAACTTGAACAAATTCTTTTTATGAGATAGGCTTTCACCTATTCACTTCTTATCTGAAGTAAACAGGATGTTTTTGTTTAACTTTGTTTTGTGTTTGTGTCACGTATGGTGAAGCAGGAACAAGTCCTGGCAATTATTTGTGTCCAGCAGGTTTTATTCTGCTGAGGACAGGCACAAATGTCTAGATTTTCATGTGTGTTCCATCTTTCAAAAACTCTGATACCTTTCAAGATGAAAGACTTTTGCTTTTTACATTTTTATTGTTTTATCATTGCTTTAAAATATTTTAATAAGGATGGGTATTTTTCAGTTAAACATTTTTAAGGTTTTACTTTTTATTTTATTTTTTAAAAAGTTTAATTGAAGAACTGTGACGTACTAAGTTACTGATAGCTGGGTTTTAGCCATACAATAGTTTGATAGCAAACCCACCAACAGTATCAACTTTGCTCCACCAGTGTTCCTATGCTCCCTCCTGTCTAGCCCACACTTAGAACCTTGACAGGCAGATTTCAAAGTTATGTGGTTGTAATTTAGATCTGTTTTCGGTGTTGTTCTTATTAAAGAGCTTCAGAGACTTATCTTCATATGTCTCTATGGGTATGACACTCACTATTCTTTTCATCGAAGTTCCAGCACTAAACACAGATCTAAGCTGCAACCACCAACTTTGTAATGTGTCTGTCAATGAGGCAGGTGGGGGGTGAGGGAGTATGAGGGAGTGGAGTATGAGGGAACATCGGTGGAGGGAATTTGACATTTCTGGTGGGATTAGTGTTGAAATATTCTATATCTAAAACCCAACTATCAGTAACTTTGTAAATTACACTTCTGTAATTAAATAAAAACTTATTTTAAAATATTTTTTAAAAGCTTAAGTTGCAATACTGTCTTCTACTACCATTCTTTCCACATCTACCTCTCCTTTCCCTCTGGTAACCATCATAGTTTTCATTGATTCCTGGATTTAGTTTTGTTGTTCCATGCCAATTTGTTCACTTTAGATATTCTACCTCTGAGAGAAACCATCTGCAAATTGTTTTTGCTATCATATCATTTAGCATAATTATATTGAGATCCATCCACTGCTTACTTATTTCAATTTGTTTTTAAAGGCACTATTTTAGCATCATTTTCGGTGCTAATTGATCTTGATCTTGCAAATGGAACATTGCAAGATATACAAACTTGGAAAAGCACCAAATCTATTTTCACCCTTTGATTTTTTATATTAAATTTACAAGTGATTAAGTTCTCTGAATCTTCTTTCCAAACTGAAATTATTTCAATATAAATTTGTATGATAAATAACTCAAAAGAACAACCAGTATTGTGTTATTAGCTTAGTTGCATAACTATGCCAATCTGAAATAATACAAATTACTTTTACAAAAAATATTCATACTTGGGGCTGGAGCAATAGCACAGCGGGTAGGGCGTTTGTCTTGCACACCGCCAACCCGGGCTCGATTCCCAGCATCCCATATGGTCCCCTGAGCACTGCCAGGGGTGATTCCTGAGTGCAGAGCCAGGAGTAACCTCTGTGCATCGCTGGTTGTGACCCCAAAAGCAAATATATATATATATATATATACATATATATATATACATACATATATATTCATACTAAGCAATAAATCAGTATTTCTAAACTTCATAATATAATAAAACCATTTAAAGGAATTTTTAATATATTAATTACTCAACAGATTTTAACTCCTAGCTTAGTATAAGCAGGAAAATATATGGGGGCAATTCAAAGTTTTTTTGTCCACTAGTGTCCTAGCAGATAAAAACTTCCCTTCTATTGGTCAAAAGGAAAAAATATAAAATAAAGGCTTTTTAAAATACGAGGCTGTATGTTTTAATGATATTAACACAAAAGATGTATTTCAATATTCAATATTGAAGTGTTAGCAATAAATGGATACCATATCTTTTATAATCTAGAACAATACTAAGTTAAAAATTACAATTATCATATAAATATTAAAATTCTACATTTCAACCATTTAAAGATATTAAACTATAAAATCCCTCTAATCAAAAGCTTCCATAAATATATATGAATCTGAAATCTAAAATCTGATAAATTATAAATATTGTTACAGAACAATTTTGCTCGAGCGGGCCCAGTAACGTCTCCATTGGAGACTTTGTTGTTACTGTGTCTGGCATATCCAATACTCTCGGTAGCTTGCCGGGCTCTCCGAGAGGGGCGGAGGAATTGAACTCGGGTCGGCCATGTTGGCTGCGTGCAAGGCAGACGCCCTACCCGCTGTGCTATCGCTCCAGCACAGAACAATTTTAGGATCATATTTTATTGCATGCTCTTTTTTAATAATCCCAGGACTCAGCTGGTAAACTTTTTCATGACTTTTCTTCCTGTCTGATATTTGCTAGTGTAATCTTTTCAAGACTATCTCCATCCTAAACCGTAGTTCCTCAAAGAAAAGTTAATGAAGACTCTCAGGGTATAAACTATGGCCATAGAAACTGGGATAAAAGATTGAAATTGAAAGTGCTGCAAAGAGTGAATATTTATAATTTTTTAAAACAAAAAGACTGGTAAAGTGAGAAAGTGAGATTCTATATATGTAGAAAAAAAGAAAAAGCTTAATTCCTAGATTGGAACTAGGAAGAAACTTGACTATAAAATTTTATATTGATTTATATGACAAAGGCATTCACAAAGTCACAAAAAGATAATCTGGAAAGAAAAATTTTAGATTCTTGACACAAAGAATATGATTTAGAATAAATTCTATTTTTCTTCCTTCCTGTTAATTGGCAGAATGAAATTATTTCAGGAACCTTACCTGAAGTAGGACCTAGATTTGATATGAATTTGATACGATCACTTTTATGGTATCACAATGTGTAATATATAGCTATAACTTTATTATATACCGTGCTAAGAACACTAAAGCAGTACTTGTGAAGCAAAGTATTTTATGATTTTATGTTTCAATGAAATCTCTAATTAATATATCATGTATCAGAAATATTTTGAGTTGGTGACTGACAAATCATTTAATAACAGTATTTGTGACCATGGCAACTAGGAAAGCGTATTTTATAATTAACTGTTCTCAATCATTAGCTCAATTAAATTTTTTACCTAAATTGTTTTAACATTCTGCTGTTCAGATGGCATTTAAATAATTCAAAAGATTTTAAATACAGGTTTTGAATTTCCATACAAATATATATTTGTAAAATTTCCAGTTGTAAAGTATGTTTCCTTTGGAAACCAAAATTGATACCATACTGCTTTCCTTTCAAAATTTGATTTTAGTTTATATAGAGGACATTTTAAGTCTAATGAATTACATAGTATTTTTGTAGTGTCTTTTTCTGGCTTTGTTTTTTTCTTGTGTGACTCTTACATGAAAGTGATTTTAATAGAAAAACATATTTAAAATATATCCATTACTAGTACTGCTTTGTTTCTTGTCTTCAATACATAAAGAAACACACATGTTCTAATTCTGTTATTTTTCTGAAAGATATAGTGTATCTCAGAAAAATAAAAGTAGAAACCAGTGATGGTGAAGTTTTCTATATATTACTGTGCTTTTCATTTGAACAGATATGATCAAATAGGTGGATTCAAGATCACATATGTACTTAAAACATACTGCATTTGGGTTGAGACATAGTACAGTGGATAGGGCACTGCCTTGCAAGTGGCAGATCTGGGTTCCATCCCAAGCATCATATATGGTCCCTGAGCACTGTGAAGAGTAATTCCTGAGTGCAGACCCAGGAGAAACCTATGGCATTACTGGGTGTGCTCCCCCAGAAAACTTAAACCCATTTTGCATTATTATGAATAAATGAATTTCAAGAAACTACATAAAACAAAAGACTTAAAACTTTTTAAAAAGATATATTAGCCTACAAAAATATATATTAACTCGAATTCAAATACTGCCTCACTGATCAATATGGATGTGAATTATTATTTTGAAATGTGATTTTCCATGCCCTAAATTTATCTTTCAATGAAATTAAAATATTTTTATGTATACAGAGGAGATATATTGTATTAGAAGAAATGTGTCATATATTTTATTTTTAATATCACTCACTCATTAAATACATACTAAGTGCCTTTATGATAAAAACACTGATTACATGGATAAATGTTATTTGCATATACAAGGACAATTAATACTGAGGATAGATGTAAATTTGTATTGATGTCTCAATGGTATATATTTCAATTATTATGTTGTTCTTCACAAACAATATTTATTTAATAAAACAAGTTTTGGCACAAAAGGACATCTTAATACTAGTTTTATAAATATTCCTATACTTTTAAATATGATACTTGCAACAAAATTATAAATGGCCTCTGTACTCAATAATTCTTCATCCTGAAGAATTTATCATTGTTTATGTGATTTTCAGTTTGTCATTGCTTGCAAAAAGTATAGACAGTACTACTTGCTGTGCCAGGATGTCTTAATATATATCAGAATGTTCCTGTTCTGTGGGGAAAGGTGTGTTGCTTTGATCAATTGTTTTTCAAGGGTGTAGTCACTAAAGTGAATGATTATTCAAGGAAGTCAGTTACTGAAAAAGGAATGAGTTCATAGAATAGAGGCCTGTGTTTTCAGCTTTCTTCTTCTTTTATTTTCTT